ACAACATTTGTGTTTGTCTGGTTATTCATGGTTGCATTTCTCTGGGTTCCCCTCGTAGAGGAATTTAACTGGTTTCCTATAATGTCAGCATTCTGATGGATGTGATTGGCTGCCGCCGTGGAATATGACTGGTTTCCCATTGCTGTTGCATTTGACTGGTTTCCAACTGTTGTGGCAGCTGATTGGCATCTCACTGTTGTGGCATTAGACTGGCTTCCTGCTGTTGTGGCATTTGATTGGTTTCCAATTTCGAGCCCAGTCATTCCAGTATTTGATTTAGATCCCATCATTGCCATAAGCTGATCAATCTTGTGCTCCATCCTCACTAACATGGGTAGTATCAGTCCCAGTTTGTCATCTTGAAGAGCACTAAGTAAGCTCATGGTGGAAGACTGGGAGGCTGTCAAAGAAGGCTGAACACCATGCTGCAGAGGAGTTTGCAGTGTGCTGTTTAACATTGGTGAAGGAAAGAAATTGGGAGGCACTGCAAATTGGACACTTGATGGATGTGAAGAACCCTCAATAGAACCATGATGTGAAAGGGAAGGTGCTGTTTGTGTAGGCTGAGGTACTGCATGTGCTGGCTGAGGAAATGTATGTGGAGGGTGAGGTACTGTATGTGCAGGCTGAGGTATTGAATGTGGAGGGTGAGGAACTGTTGGTGGTACAGTACGTGGAGTCTGAGTCATCATATTTGGAAGCAGCTGTACTGCATGCAGAGGCTGTGGCACTACATGTGAAGGCTGTGGCACTGTTTGTAGTGGTTGAGGCACTGTACATGGAGGCTGTGGCAGCGAGTGTGTAGGATGAAGCACTCCTTGTGGAGGAACAGGGGGTTCACCACTTGCCTGTTGACAGTAACAAGGTACAATGTAATCATTTTCTTAGGTGTCATGGCACATAATTTAGAGAGGGGACTGGCTCCCACTGTTATTAAAAGCCTCAGCCTCTCCTTTTTCAAGAGAAAATTGGCCAATTTTAATTGTGACTGCTGCTCCTGGATGTTCCTACTCCAGCTAAGTTGCATTCCTAAGACATAGACATAGACATACTTTATTTAACGTGGACAAGTACACACTTAGCTGTTCGCTAGTTTCCAGGTGTTCCATGATTTAAATTAAGTAATGTACAACATTATAGGAGCTTAAAAAAAAGGTATTTACATCAAGCTGAGAGATTGAGAGACAACAGACTAAGACCTTGTAGTTGTTTAGCTGCTCAACAGATACTTCAGGGTTTGTTTGCATGTTGATATTTCATTCTCAATTGCAGCCTCCAAATGCTCAGCAAATAGTCAGCCACAATCAGATACAAAACCACATTTACAGGTTTAACACAAGAGATGGGTTTATAGTGAAGGATTTGCCTCTGTTATTTTTAGTCAAAGCCAAAACATTTTGTGGCGTATGACTGTTTTACTAAATGTTTTTGTTGATATTTGTTAGGAGAGACAAGAATTGTACTGCCCTAAATGATTGATCTGAAAACCTAAAATTAGTCTGCAAGCAACTAGGCTCACCTTAAGGCTTAAGAATACCTAAATTTAATTATATAACAGTGAAGTCGTTCCTTGATCTCTGGAATGATCCCCCACATGCAACAGGGAGACCCTGAACTGGTTCCAAGTAATTTAGAATTTTTTAATTGTCTTCTAATTTCTGCAAGGTTGAACCAAATTGTAGCTATACTATTAAAAACCTCTCACATTCTGCACAACAAACTGTAGTAAGTAAAGCATAAGAAAAAATATGTTGAGCTGACTAATTTGATTGAAGTTGATATAACAGCCAATATTATAATGGTCAATTTTGTAAAAAATTATAGGCCCGTGACTTTCTTTGTGATTACTACTAGTCATATGACTTAATCACTTCTTTACAGTTTACAGTAATATATTAAAAATCTATTCTGAATTATGCAACAATATCATCCTATATGTACACATTGCAGACCTACTTTCTTCTTGTTGGCCTGGGCAAGGGAAGGGGGAGCTGAGGGTAAGAGGTAAATTTAGCCATTTTGCATGATAACTCAGTTTGGTTTCTCTAAATAACTGGTAAAAAAAATTATGCTGAAAAAAATCAACTGATAGAAGAAAATCAAACTTACCAACAAATCTTCTATTGTCCCATTCTGTTTTCGCTTTTTAGACTCGAGGAGAGATAGAGAAAAAAACGTAAACTATACTTGTACAAACTACAAAGTTATGCAGGCTCAATGAGAATGACAGTCCTTTTATCGACTATCATTCAAGTTTAGGAAATGGAGGACGAAAGTACAGTGAACTGTGAAAAATCACTCAACGTGCAAACAGAAACTCCCATGAATTTTGTGCAGCTTCACATTTGATTAGATAGGGCATCACTTGCCAAGAGATGCTTAAGTCAGTATAAGAGCATTCAAGAGTTTTAGACCATTATAGATAAAGGCTAAAAGTTTGAGTTCTGGGCTCTTTCATTCTCCTTTGGTTCAGTCCCTGGGGGTGCTACTAAACTGAACTCGAGAAGAACTGTGCCGTAAGTCAACAAGTTAACCCTCTCTCCCACCTAGCCCCGAAAATTTCAACAGACGTTTATCACTGTATATCTTTTTTAAAACATCTTGCAGCATTTTTGGCATGCCCATAGGATGCATGAAAATACAAATCAATTTCAGCTAGTTTGCAAAACTAGATTTTTAAAACTCTGTTATTTTAAAAATGTGTTCCACTGTATTTGTACTCTATGAAACTGTAAGTTGGATAACAATAGAATTGTGATAATGTAAGCTCCCAAATAACTGAGACAACTTTGGCAGCCCTGCAAAGTGTTTTCAATTTATTTTTTGCTATAATTTCTTTCTATATTTACACAGATGCAAATGTCGACAGGTTGGGAGAAAGAAGGGAGGATGCCCAATATATTAACTATTTTTTACAAATGGTTTATTCGCTAGCCATACAGCAACGCATACAAAAACAAACGCTTCCTTGCTTGATAAGAACACTGACAGCGGTAAGAGGATGTTCGCTGAGCAAAGATTTATTAGGCGAGAAGAAAAACAATGTGCGCGCCATTTTAAAAACAAGTGAAGCGTTCGCCAAGGAAATTTTTCCGCAGGTTTTCTTCCACTGCTGTGTCTAGGATCAGTTTATCTGTCGTTCATTTGAAGAACAGCTTTGAAAACTACTTTGTATGAAAAAAAAAACCGAGTCAAGGAACCGCGAAAGTTTGAAGCGCGTCCAGGTCCAGGCTTTTTACCGCGACCTGGTCGCAGCCATTGTTGTAAACAAGTTCAAATGCAAGCTTATGCCTTTTTACCTTTCTGATAACTTTCGTTGGCGTTCTTTTCTTTCCGCGTCCACGTCTTTTAACTGTTTTCTCCTAATAAAATAACAACAAAGCAGTTGATATCAAAGTCATGGAACAAAATGAACTTGATTACGCACCAAACCTGAGCTCGAAGAGCGAAGTCCTTCCAAACATGTAGACAGTTCCAAGCTGACGATGATCGAATTATCTTATTTATAAAGCAAAGTAAGACTGGAAAAGCTTTTCTTGTTTTCCTGAAGCAATAACTCTTACCGTTATTTCAGATAGTACCGCTTGATTGTCGCCTTTGTCAGACATTCTGATTCAACTGTATTAATAAATTCGAATGATGACTTCTTGCAAGTTGACGGACGCGGTCGTTTTGCCAACCTCAAAGGTCGGACGCTCTTGACCACCAGTGGCCAATCATATTCTTACATCTTTCCCACACGCCACGAACACGCCACGCTCTTGGCAGATTCACGCGTGACGGGCCGGGCTGCGTGACGGAGAATGTGAGGCAGTAGAGTCCGGCAATTTTTCTCACGTCGTTGAACGCGCAAAAAGAACCGTATTTTTTTTCTTTCGCGTGTTCCCTCAAGCTCTCTTCGTGCGCGAACAGTTCTTTCGGATTGATTACTATTTCCCTATAATTTACCACAAAGTCTAGTTACACTGAGAACACAAACATAGCATTCCGCGATGAACTTTTTTATCTCACCGAGATAAGTGATGTATTTCCGTATTTCTTTGAATAATAAACCTGGGCGTACAAAAAAAGGAAGATTATTTTAACATAACTTGGTCGCTGGAACTAGTACAAAGTACGATGGACTCTTGTAATTGCGAACTGCGTACGGGAAGAACACATTCGCAAGAAAAAGATACAGAAGGTCCAAATAATGGTTCTGATAATGGTTTTTTTCACAGAAGGCAGAGACAGCAGCGATGTAAGAACCTATTTAGCCGGCGGTTAGGCTAACCTTTGAGTCACACGCGAGAGCGTCCGCAAGAGGAGAGGAGTCTGGTGAAGAGCGCTTCGCCGTTTGCATTTTTGCTCTGCTCGCAGGCCTAGAACCTATTGAACAACTCAACCTGTTTTATCTTTCCTGAAATCAGGAGATAGCAATGAAGGTGATGCCAAGGTTATCGGAAAGCAAACCCAAGATAACGGAATTCTGGTTTGAGCAGTTCGCAAATCCTAGCGTACAAAAGACAAGACCATTCCTCTGGTGCTGACTTGTGAGCTCCCAGGAATAAATGAATGAGTGAAATGCATGGAGGCGTTTTCGAGGCGATGAAAAAAAAGGAACAGGTAGTCGAGGAAATATATTACACCAGCAAATCTTAGTTCTTTAATTGACTTTCATCAGTTTACTGAAAGAAAGAACAAACAACTTTATTTATATCATGATAGGCTACAAAACTGAATAAATGCAACGGGTTAGTCAAGGTAAGCTTGTACGGTACACATGTAAAACGTTCAGCGTGCAAACCGCACAATAACTGACACATGTCTCCTTCAGGGAACTTTTCTTAAATTGTCAATACTGCTTGGGTACCAATTTTTTGAACACAAGGCTAAGTAAATAACCATAACAAACATACGTGTGACAATGTAAACTTTAACAAAGTTATTCTTGATCTATAAGTCGGATGTTTTTTTCCAACTTAGGACAGGCCTATATTTGATAGGTTGTCTGCGCGATTTAGCAACACAGAAAACGGTCAGAACTTTTAAGCTTCATTCACGGTGACATGGAAGCATTTCACATGTCCCTCAGGGACGAACTACAAATTTCACTCTGCCTTGACTATTTTGGCTGCTGCTTTTCGTCCATTATACTTTTATTTTTTTGCATTCATCATTTCGTATTGCAGAAGGGGATAGGAGCGTGTTGTTAGCTGGCCTTCATCCTCACTATAATCAAGTCCTAGCCCAGTGTAGTACGTGAAGGCTTCTCTGCTTTGAACCATTTACGCTTCTTCTATTGCATTTGCTATATATCATTGTATTCGTGAAGATACAATGTGCGTTTTGAGGTCCATCAACGTCAGAAATGAAGGTCGCTTGTAACGGAAGTTTCCTCAAGTTGAAGGTAAGTATCCTCTCTTACAGAATTAGGCAACAGCTGACTGTAGAATTCGTTTCTGAAACTCTTCAGACTCCACTTGTTCAACAGTTAGAAGTGATAAGCCAAGCTGATCCTCCTACAAGGGAGAAACTCAAACGTTCAGCTTGTGCTGTGGACAAATGAGGTGAAAATGGAAAGATCACTAACAGTAAAACTGTCTTGCAGGTAATGGCATTTATTAAACATTCGGTCTCCTCTTTTTATCAGGCATAAACTGACACAAAGCTTGAAACCTCAGTGGCTCTACTCTAAAACAACAGTCGACGAACGTTGACTAAGTTAAAGACAAAGTGATCCAAACAAATCGGACTGTGGTGGAATTAAGATTTGCAAATTGTAATTGCGAGAAAAATTGAAAACTTCTCACGGTTTATGAGACAAAAGAGGGAGAAACATGAAATACAGGAAACGCCAAGTTCTCGAACCTCCAAGAGAAACGAAAATTGGTACGAGAAATAGGGAGTTATAGGGGATAACAACGACTTTTGGGTTTAGTTAATGATAGGCTCAACAAATCGGGATGCCACCGAATGCTCAGCAATGAAATGTATCAAACGAGTGTTGATTTGGGTTTGGCAGAGAGTGAAGTTACCTTGTCAAACGGTTGAGCCATCTGTCTAAGGAATCTCTTGCTGATCTAAGGAAAACAAGCACAAATGAAATATTCGCCTTTAGCTTAGTGCTCACAAGCGGGTATAAACTTTCGCCAGTCGTGCAGTCAAAGTCACACTGAATAATAACGCTATTTTCTATAGCTTTCACTCCGTGACAGATGATGTTAGGGTGACCTGGTAACTGCGGAGATTTGCACACTTGTCACACACAAGTACACACAATATTGGTCGTATGTAAATGAGACAAGATTCACACACAGTTTCACATGACAGTCAAGCAGGCCGCAAAAAAATTCTTAGTACCCAGAGTGGCGTTTCTTCTAACTGACCCGTTACAAGGTCGGTCAACCCGCCAACCAGGCTGCCTCACAGCCTGACCTAACTTGCCTACCCCTGATCAGGTTGCCCGACCCCCTCTGACTAAGTTGCCTGCAGGGTAAGTTAACCAGGCCTTCATCTCTGAATTCCCTGACTTTGTTAACCTACCCCCCTGATCAGGTTGCCCCTACCAAGTTGAAACAAGCACTTTTGAAAAACCCAACCTTCCTTTAATCCNACAACATTTGTGTTTGTCTGGTTATTCATGGTTGCATTTCTCTGGGTTCCCCTCGTAGAGGAATTTAACTGGTTTCCTATAATGTCAGCATTCTGATGGATGTGATTGGCTGCCGCCGTGGAATATGACTGGTTTCCCATTGCTGTTGCATTTGACTGGTTTCCAACTGTTGTGGCAGCTGATTGGCATCTCACTGTTGTGGCATTAGACTGGCTTCCTGCTGTTGTGGCATTTGATTGGTTTCCAATTTCGAGCCCAGTCATTCCAGTATTTGATTTAGATCCCATCATTGCCATAAGCTGATCAATCTTGTGCTCCATCCTCACTAACATGGGTAGTATCAGTCCCAGTTTGTCATCTTGAAGAGCACTAAGTAAGCTCATGGTGGAAGACTGGGAGGCTGTCAAAGAAGGCTGAACACCATGCTGCAGAGGAGTTTGCAGTGTGCTGTTTAACATTGGTGAAGGAAAGAAATTGGGAGGCACTGCAAATTGGACACTTGATGGATGTGAAGAACCCTCAATAGAACCATGATGTGAAAGGGAAGGTGCTGTTTGTGTAGGCTGAGGTACTGCATGTGCTGGCTGAGGAAATGTATGTGGAGGGTGAGGTACTGTATGTGCAGGCTGAGGTATTGAATGTGGAGGGTGAGGAACTGTTGGTGGTACAGTACGTGGAGTCTGAGTCATCATATTTGGAAGCAGCTGTACTGCATGCAGAGGCTGTGGCACTACATGTGAAGGCTGTGGCACTGTTTGTAGTGGTTGAGGCACTGTACATGGAGGCTGTGGCAGCGAGTGTGTAGGATGAAGCACTCCTTGTGGAGGAACAGGGGGTTCACCACTTGCCTGTTGACAGTAACAAGGTACAATGTAATCATTTTCTTAGGTGTCATGGCACATAATTTAGAGAGGGGACTGGCTCCCACTGTTATTAAAAGCCTCAGCCTCTCCTTTTTCAAGAGAAAATTGGCCAATTTTAATTGTGACTGCTGCTCCTGGATGTTCCTACTCCAGCTAAGTTGCATTCCTAAGACATAGACATAGACATACTTTATTTAACGTGGACAAGTACACACTTAGCTGTTCGCTAGTTTCCAGGTGTTCCATGATTTAAATTAAGTAATGTACAACATTATAGGAGCTTAAAAAAAAGGTATTTACATCAAGCTGAGAGATTGAGAGACAACAGACTAAGACCTTGTAGTTGTTTAGCTGCTCAACAGATACTTCAGGGTTTGTTTGCATGTTGATATTTCATTCTCAATTGCAGCCTCCAAATGCTCAGCAAATAGTCAGCCACAATCAGATACAAAACCACATTTACAGGTTTAACACAAGAGATGGGTTTATAGTGAAGGATTTGCCTCTGTTATTTTTAGTCAAAGCCAAAACATTTTGTGGCGTATGACTGTTTTACTAAATGTTTTTGTTGATATTTGTTAGGAGAGACAAGAATTGTACTGCCCTAAATGATTGATCTGAAAACCTAAAATTAGTCTGCAAGCAACTAGGCTCACCTTAAGGCTTAAGAATACCTAAATTTAATTATATAACAGTGAAGTCGTTCCTTGATCTCTGGAATGATCCCCCACATGCAACAGGGAGACCCTGAACTGGTTCCAAGTAATTTAGAATTTTTTAATTGTCTTCTAATTTCTGCAAGGTTGAACCAAATTGTAGCTATACTATTAAAAACCTCTCACATTCTGCACAACAAACTGTAGTAAGTAAAGCATAAGAAAAAATATGTTGAGCTGACTAATTTGATTGAAGTTGATATAACAGCCAATATTATAATGGTCAATTTTGTAAAAAATTATAGGCCCGTGACTTTCTTTGTGATTACTACTAGTCATATGACTTAATCACTTCTTTACAGTTTACAGTAATATATTAAAAATCTATTCTGAATTATGCAACAATATCATCCTATATGTACACATTGCAGACCTACTTTCTTCTTGTTGGCCTGGGCAAGGGAAGGGGGAGCTGAGGGTAAGAGGTAAATTTAGCCATTTTGCATGATAACTCAGTTTGGTTTCTCTAAATAACTGGTAAAAAAAATTATGCTGAAAAAAATCAACTGATAGAAGAAAATCAAACTTACCAACAAATCTTCTATTGTCCCATTCTGTTTTCGCTTTTTAGACTCGAGGAGAGATAGAGAAAAAAACGTAAACTATACTTGTACAAACTACAAAGTTATGCAGGCTCAATGAGAATGACAGTCCTTTTATCGACTATCATTCAAGTTTAGGAAATGGAGGACGAAAGTACAGTGAACTGTGAAAAATCACTCAACGTGCAAACAGAAACTCCCATGAATTTTGTGCAGCTTCACATTTGATTAGATAGGGCATCACTTGCCAAGAGATGCTTAAGTCAGTATAAGAGCATTCAAGAGTTTTAGACCATTATAGATAAAGGCTAAAAGTTTGAGTTCTGGGCTCTTTCATTCTCCTTTGGTTCAGTCCCTGGGGGTGCTACTAAACTGAACTCGAGAAGAACTGTGCCGTAAGTCAACAAGTTAACCCTCTCTCCCACCTAGCCCCGAAAATTTCAACAGACGTTTATCACTGTATATCTTTTTTAAAACATCTTGCAGCATTTTTGGCATGCCCATAGGATGCATGAAAATACAAATCAATTTCAGCTAGTTTGCAAAACTAGATTTTTAAAACTCTGTTATTTTAAAAATGTGTTCCACTGTATTTGTACTCTATGAAACTGTAAGTTGGATAACAATAGAATTGTGATAATGTAAGCTCCCAAATAACTGAGACAACTTTGGCAGCCCTGCAAAGTGTTTTCAATTTATTTTTTGCTATAATTTCTTTCTATATTTACACAGATGCAAATGTCGACAGGTTGGGAGAAAGAAGGGAGGATGCCCAATATATTAACTATTTTTTACAAATGGTTTATTCGCTAGCCATACAGCAACGCATACAAAAACAAACGCTTCCTTGCTTGATAAGAACACTGACAGCGGTAAGAGGATGTTCGCTGAGCAAAGATTTATTAGGCGAGAAGAAAAACAATGTGCGCGCCATTTTAAAAACAAGTGAAGCGTTCGCCAAGGAAATTTTTCCGCAGGTTTTCTTCCACTGCTGTGTCTAGGATCAGTTTATCTGTCGTTCATTTGAAGAACAGCTTTGAAAACTACTTTGTATGAAAAAAAAAACCGAGTCAAGGAACCGCGAAAGTTTGAAGCGCGTCCAGGTCCAGGCTTTTTACCGCGACCTGGTCGCAGCCATTGTTGTAAACAAGTTCAAATGCAAGCTTATGCCTTTTTACCTTTCTGATAACTTTCGTTGGCGTTCTTTTCTTTCCGCGTCCACGTCTTTTAACTGTTTTCTCCTAATAAAATAACAACAAAGCAGTTGATATCAAAGTCATGGAACAAAATGAACTTGATTACGCACCAAACCTGAGCTCGAAGAGCGAAGTCCTTCCAAACATGTAGACAGTTCCAAGCTGACGATGATCGAATTATCTTATTTATAAAGCAAAGTAAGACTGGAAAAGCTTTTCTTGTTTTCCTGAAGCAATAACTCTTACCGTTATTTCAGATAGTACCGCTTGATTGTCGCCTTTGTCAGACATTCTGATTCAACTGTATTAATAAATTCGAATGATGACTTCTTGCAAGTTGACGGACGCGGTCGTTTTGCCAACCTCAAAGGTCGGACGCTCTTGACCACCAGTGGCCAATCATATTCTTACATCTTTCCCACACGCCACGAACACGCCACGCTCTTGGCAGATTCACGCGTGACGGGCCGGGCTGCGTGACGGAGAATGTGAGGCAGTAGAGTCCGGCAATTTTTCTCACGTCGTTGAACGCGCAAAAAGAACCGTATTTTTTTTCTTTCGCGTGTTCCCTCAAGCTCTCTTCGTGCGCGAACAGTTCTTTCGGATTGATTACTATTTCCCTATAATTTACCACAAAGTCTAGTTACACTGAGAACACAAACATAGCATTCCGCGATGAACTTTTTTATCTCACCGAGATAAGTGATGTATTTCCGTATTTCTTTGAATAATAAACCTGGGCGTACAAAAAAAGGAAGATTATTTTAACATAACTTGGTCGCTGGAACTAGTACAAAGTACGATGGACTCTTGTAATTGCGAACTGCGTACGGGAAGAACACATTCGCAAGAAAAAGATACAGAAGGTCCAAATAATGGTTCTGATAATGGTTTTTTTCACAGAAGGCAGAGACAGCAGCGATGTAAGAACCTATTTAGCCGGCGGTTAGGCTAACCTTTGAGTCACACGCGAGAGCGTCCGCAAGAGGAGAGGAGTCTGGTGAAGAGCGCTTCGCCGTTTGCATTTTTGCTCTGCTCGCAGGCCTAGAACCTATTGAACAACTCAACCTGTTTTATCTTTCCTGAAATCAGGAGATAGCAATGAAGGTGATGCCAAGGTTATCGGAAAGCAAACCCAAGATAACGGAATTCTGGTTTGAGCAGTTCGCAAATCCTAGCGTACAAAAGACAAGACCATTCCTCTGGTGCTGACTTGTGAGCTCCCAGGAATAAATGAATGAGTGAAATGCATGGAGGCGTTTTCGAGGCGATGAAAAAAAAGGAACAGGTAGTCGAGGAAATATATTACACCAGCAAATCTTAGTTCTTTAATTGACTTTCATCAGTTTACTGAAAGAAAGAACAAACAACTTTATTTATATCATGATAGGCTACAAAACTGAATAAATGCAACGGGTTAGTCAAGGTAAGCTTGTACGGTACACATGTAAAACGTTCAGCGTGCAAACCGCACAATAACTGACACATGTCTCCTTCAGGGAACTTTTCTTAAATTGTCAATACTGCTTGGGTACCAATTTTTTGAACACAAGGCTAAGTAAATAACCATAACAAACATACGTGTGACAATGTAAACTTTAACAAAGTTATTCTTGATCTATAAGTCGGATGTTTTTTTCCAACTTAGGACAGGCCTATATTTGATAGGTTGTCTGCGCGATTTAGCAACACAGAAAACGGTCAGAACTTTTAAGCTTCATTCACGGTGACATGGAAGCATTTCACATGTCCCTCAGGGACGAACTACAAATTTCACTCTGCCTTGACTATTTTGGCTGCTGCTTTTCGTCCATTATACTTTTATTTTTTTGCATTCATCATTTCGTATTGCAGAAGGGGATAGGAGCGTGTTGTTAGCTGGCCTTCATCCTCACTATAATCAAGTCCTAGCCCAGTGTAGTACGTGAAGGCTTCTCTGCTTTGAACCATTTACGCTTCTTCTATTGCATTTGCTATATATCATTGTATTCGTGAAGATACAATGTGCGTTTTGAGGTCCATCAACGTCAGAAATGAAGGTCGCTTGTAACGGAAGTTTCCTCAAGTTGAAGGTAAGTATCCTCTCTTACAGAATTAGGCAACAGCTGACTGTAGAATTCGTTTCTGAAACTCTTCAGACTCCACTTGTTCAACAGTTAGAAGTGATAAGCCAAGCTGATCCTCCTACAAGGGAGAAACTCAAACGTTCAGCTTGTGCTGTGGACAAATGAGGTGAAAATGGAAAGATCACTAACAGTAAAACTGTCTTGCAGGTAATGGCATTTATTAAACATTCGGTCTCCTCTTTTTATCAGGCATAAACTGACACAAAGCTTGAAACCTCAGTGGCTCTACTCTAAAACAACAGTCGACGAACGTTGACTAAGTTAAAGACAAAGTGATCCAAACAAATCGGACTGTGGTGGAATTAAGATTTGCAAATTGTAATTGCGAGAAAAATTGAAAACTTCTCACGGTTTATGAGACAAAAGAGGGAGAAACATGAAATACAGGAAACGCCAAGTTCTCGAACCTCCAAGAGAAACGAAAATTGGTACGAGAAATAGGGAGTTATAGGGGATAACAACGACTTTTGGGTTTAGTTAATGATAGGCTCAACAAATCGGGATGCCACCGAATGCTCAGCAATGAAATGTATCAAACGAGTGTTGATTTGGGTTTGGCAGAGAGTGAAGTTACCTTGTCAAACGGTTGAGCCATCTGTCTAAGGAATCTCTTGCTGATCTAAGGAAAACAAGCACAAATGAAATATTCGCCTTTAGCTTAGTGCTCACAAGCGGGTATAAACTTTCGCCAGTCGTGCAGTCAAAGTCACACTGAATAATAACGCTATTTTCTATAGCTTTCACTCCGTGACAGATGATGTTAGGGTGACCTGGTAACTGCGGAGATTTGCACACTTGTCACACACAAGTACACACAATATTGGTCGTATGTAAATGAGACAAGATTCACACACAGTTTCACATGACAGTCAAGCAGGCCGCAAAAAAATTCTTAGTACCCAGAGTGGCGTTTCTTCTAACTGACCCGTTACAAGGTCGGTCAACCCGCCAACCAGGCTGCCTCACAGCCTGACCTAACTTGCCTACCCCTGATCAGGTTGCCCGACCCCCTCTGACTAAGTTGCCTGCAGGGTAAGTTAACCAGGCCTTCATCTCTGAATTCCCTGACTTTGTTAACCTACCCCCCTGATCAGGTTGCCCCTACCAAGTTGAAACAAGCACTTTTGAAAAACCCAACCTTCCTTTAATCCCGACTGAAATTAGAATCTAACCTGCACTGCCTCGTCGATGGAAAGGTTGCATACTCCTTCTTTCAGGTACTCCTGAAAAGGCAAGCCACAAAATAATGTCTTAATTAACCAAGCTTTGAACATTTATGATAATTTGTTTATATAGAATGATCTGATCAATCTCTCCTCGGGAAAATCAAAATTTATGCAAACCAGTGATAGTCCGGAAAATTTGAAGGCTGAACTAGTACGTAAATCGACACAAAAATGATTGCTACAGCTGAATGTTTTTCTCCTGGCTTACCTGGATCCATTTTGGCAGTTTACCTCTCTTGTCTACTTTGAAAAACCTCTGCAAAAAAAAAAAAAATTATATATATGGAGTAATCATCATGTCACTCACATCCGTTTTATTTCAAAGGCTCATCATGCAAGAGTTAATAACCTGATTCACTATCACAGTCAGTGTAAGTACCTTGTCAGCAAACACCATGATTCCATAATCAGTTTTTCCTCTGATGGCTCGACCAACACACTGAAAAAATAAACGAGGTTAAAATAGATAAAACCGTTTATTAAAATAAACATTAAAATCGATGTAAAAATTCTACCGTCAGTGAGATCTAAATTTCAGAGCATTTTGCCCTCGACTGCAAAAATCCACTCCCGACGATTCAGAATCCAGTAGTTTTGCCTTAATATGAAGTAAACTAGTTTGCATGTGTGTGTTGATGTACTGTTTTTTCCTTCACGGTATAGTCTGCGACACTTGATTGAAAACCACTCTAAATGTAAGGAGAGATTACACAATTGGTCGTTCTAATAATTAAACAATAATTACAAACAATGTAACTACTTTCAATGGTAGTACAAATAATTCTTTTCACATTTTCACCTGAGCAGCGTGCCTCATGGCGTCAAAGGTAAGGAAATCATTTTCTCTGATGTTAAACTGATCTCTGAGATACTCAAGCCTGGCCTAGAAATCATGACAACAGGCCAATTATTCAATAAGCAAAGAGCATCAAATGAGTTAAAGTAACAAAGATTATCTCAGAGTAATCTTTTATGGGTGAACTAAATATTGTGTCAAGATAGCGATATCTTTAAGGGAAAAAAGTAATAAGCAAACTTTTCACAAACCGACGGAGAAAAGAAAAAATGAAAATGTGGCAAGTTAAAAATTATTTATATTCACCTTTAAAATCCTACTTTGTGTATAAACATAAGGAATACCAAACATAATAACTGCTCTGCCGTAATGATGATCTGTGGAGAAAAAAAACCGTGATTAGGCACATCTTATCATCATAGTTAAAAAACAAATTAAATCAAACTATTTCTTAGATTAAATGGAAGCCTAGTGGACAGAAGATCAGACAGACAGACAGACAGACAGACAGACAGACAGATCAGGGGCGTAGCCAGGATTTTTCAAGAGGGGTGGGGGTCACACTGAGTCAAAGTTAGGGTACTCACTGGATTGTCATGTCGTTTTCGGCACCCGTTGTAGGTTGTTCGCTTAAAAAAGGCTTTCAAAAGGGGGATCACGGGCACCCCAGGACCCCCCTGGCTATGCCCCTGCAGATAGATGGATGGACTGAGGGACTGACTGACAGATAGATGGACAGACGGACAGACGATCATACTGATGCAAAAATAAATATGCTAATTAATTAACAATGCTATTACCAAAGTCGATTCCCTCTGAAACTTTTCCTCTGGCTACTGAGAGCAATATGGCTCCTCTCCCATTTTCACAAGCCTGTAACAAAAAAGAAAATATTCCTGTTGATAGGCTTTTTTCAACTTTCCTGTTGTTGTATTGGAGACCTACACTGGCTACAGTCAACTAACCGGGAAAGGAAGAAAGCACACGATAAACACTTTGAAACTTACCCTTTGGTAATTATGAAGAGCTAAACTGGTTTCTGCTGCATCTTGTGTTTCAATGAAGAGCAGTTTATTTCTCTGAATGTTGCTGATAATGCCCTGAAAAATCAAAGGGAAGATGTTAAAATTTTAGGGTCTTAACACTAAATGTTGAGTTTATTATAACGTTCTTGAAAACAAAGAGCAGGTTTACCTGGTCATGCCAGATGGACACAACTGCCTCCTGAAAAAAGAAAAAAAAAAGAAAATATAAATACTGGTTAATTGTGAGGGACACCATTTCACCTGAAAACCGAGGACTATGGGATAGTGCTTTCCATTTGACCAAAAATTCTGCTTTGAATCCCAGGGTATTTCCAATTGTTTAAATGACAGCATTTTCTGGAATTTCTATAAAGAGGACAACCTTTTGAGGTACATCCAGATTTTCATTATAAATCTCATACTGGGATTTTCTGTCCCATTTGACTTTGTTCCTGTAATTTCAGCAATTTTGAGTTGAAAAGTTTGCATTCGCCTCCATTTCCAAAGTTCCAAACTTTTGGTCTAATGGAAATCACCCAATGAGTTATTTGTAGCATGTTTGACAGAGGGCAAGGCTAAAGAACAAGAGAAGGGGGAGGGTGCATCTTCCCCCACCTCTACTCTTCCCCCCTCTTTTCAGTTTGTTTAACTGGTCCTTTGCAAATGACCCATTCAAGCAGTAAAAACCAGTGACGATGAGTTTTTAATGGCAAATCAACTTACCATGTACTGATAACTGACAAAGAAACAAACTATCCCATCAGGCACCACTGCTGACATTTCCACCAATAGGTTACCGTAGTTACGCATGACAGCTATGAATGACATTCAAANGCTAAACTGGTTTCTGCTGCATCTTGTGTTTCAATGAAGAGCAGTTTATTTCTCTGAATGTTGCTGATAATGCCCTGAAAAATCAAAGGGAAGATGTTAAAATTTTAGGGTCTTAACACTGAATGTTGAGCTTATTATAACGTTCTTGAAAACAAAGAGCAGGTTAAATTTTGTTTACCTGGTCATGCCAGATGGACACAACTGCCTCCTGAAAAAAAAGACCAAAACAAAATATTAATACTGGTTAATTGTGAGGAACACCATTTCACCTGAAAGCCAAGGACTATGGGACAGTGCTTTCCATTTGACCAAAATTTCTGCTTTGAATCCCAGGGTATTTCCAATGGTTTAAAGGACAGCATTTTCTGGAATTTCTATAAAGAGGACAACCTTTTGAGGTACATCCAGATTTTCATAAATCTCATACTGGGATTTTCTGTCCCATTTGACTTTGCTCCTGGAATTTCAGGAATTTTGAGTAGAAACGTTTGCATTTGCCTCCATTTCCAAAGTTCCAAACTTTTGGTCTAATGGAAATCGCATGCGCATGGCATGCGCATGTTTGACAGAGGGCGAGGCTAAAGAACAAGAGAAGGGGGAGGGTGCATCTTCCCCCACCTCTACTCTTCCCCCCTCTTTTCAGTTTGTTTAACTGGTCCTTTGCAAATGACCCATTCAAGCAGTAAAAACCAGTGACGATGAGTTTTTAATGGCAAATCAACTTACCATGTACTGATAACTGACAAAGAAACAAACTATCCCATCAGGCACCACTGCTGACATTTCCACCAATAGGTTACCGTAGTTACGCATGACAGCTATGAATGACATTCAAAATAACATGACCTTCAAATTAGTGCAGTGAAGGAGAAAATCAATCATGACATTGGCTTTTTGTTCACTAAATATTCTTGCGCTTGGTGTTTGACAAGAAGACACCACACTAGACATGTTCACAAGCATTTGATACTTTTTAAGTCTACAAATCCTGTATCGACATACAGGTTTTACCCTCTTGAAATAGCCTGCATCATCTCCCAACCTCTTAACTTCAAGACAAATCCTGTAATCTGATCTCTTAGTCGACCCCAGTAACTTAAAAAAGGGAACATTTGAATAACCTACAAGTATCATCTCTAGTTTCAAACTTTGTTGTAATGGCCACTTGATCATTTCCTCTGCCAACAATCTGCAAAATAATTCCATGTACAAATTATGTAGATCAGCTACTCGCAGTACAGGTATAAGAAAGGAAATCAACCTTTATTACACCCATAACAACAATCTACAATCGTGGACAAAAGTCCTTGTTACACTTATGTAACATAATGGATTATCTGTGTTTTAGAACTGAAGTTTGAAGAAAACGATGCTATATCCTTTATAAATGGGTTGCTGTCTCCCCTCCCCACCCAACACAATGTTGAAAATCACTTGAAATTGCATGTACTAGTTTCAACATTGTATGGGGTTGGGGGCCGAGGTTATGCAGGTGAAGTTGTATTCGCGCCTGGCGTGTACGCAAAAGCGCAAAAAGTGCAAATTTGTCCCAAGACTTTTGTCCATGATTGTAGATTGTGAATGCTTCTCTACATGCCTATTTGTCATCATGTAAGAATTGGCGGTACTATAATTACTATTACTTATTATTTTGTTGATCTTTGATTCACTTACCATAGGACACAAGCAAATTCTGGCAAGCGTCATTGTGAATGTTGCCATAGTAACTGGTCTAAAATCAAGAATCTTAGGATACATGTCTATTGGCGACAATGTCTGGGGACATAAAAGACCAAATGCAAATCAGGCAAAAGATTTGGATATTCTGACTCAGTATTCAAATGTGAAAAAGGATTATAACATGTTGATCCCTAAAAAAGTAGTATAGACACATTGTGGTTCAAATTCAAAGTGATTTAAGTATTTACTGTCACTTAATGACATACCCCTGACGTGATGACAACTGACTGGAATCTATCAAAAACAGGTTTTATGGCGATGGAAGCATCCATACAACTGAGATTGAAAGAAAGAAAACGCAATGTAGCATCTTACACAACATCATAGCACAATAAATCAAACTGTATGCATAACATAACATTAATACATTTACTTCTTTGACAGTTACTTTGTAACAATTATCACACAGCATTGTAGGCATGCAATGCATGCAGAAGCTGCAACACATGCAGAAGGCTGTGCACCTTTAGCCCAAGGCAAACCAAAAAGTTGCTCATTCTACATACATGTATTGGTGGTGACAAGAAAATCAAAACAATGGCATTCATTTGGTAAATCTAAGCATTGGCATAAAACCTTACCTGAAGTAAAGGATTGGATTTGGTATGGTTGGTGTTCTATCATCAAATGGCTCAATAATAAGGGTGAAACCTGTAGGAAGATAAAAATGATTACCAAACTAAAGGAAGCTTACATGGGCCTTTTCTAAAAATATCATTCATGTGCAGGCTTAGTCTCACATGGATAAAGAAATTATTCAGTCTTAATATTATTCTAGTGGCACGATGCAATTGAGAGTACATGAAGCCAACCTCAGCTTGAATGATGCAATTTTCTAGAACTAAAGAAACCTAGCAATCTTACTTCTGAGGCAAATGGAAACTATGTTACAGATTACAAGCAAAGGAAAAACCAATGTATATTGGCACTTTTTCCTATATTTGTGTCTAATTAGACACATTTTAGCTTTGAAATTTGTTGCATGGCATGTGCAACTTGTACTTAGAACAAAGGATGTGGTAAATGCTTGCATCCTAAATAAGAGACTTAAACTGCAGTTTTAAAAATATTAAGGTATTTTTATGGAAAGGTCTATTGGAGTTTTAGAACATGAAATGAAAATTCAACCAGTAAAATGCAAAATGTGCATTGTACCTTTGCTGTAGGTGCTCACAAGAGTTGCAAAATTGGCAATCAATGTCAGGGGGCCATAGTCTTGAACATCAGGAAGTTCCAAAGTGTACAGCAAAGAACTCAGCCTCTCAGCACAGAATCTTTAAAATCAAAGATAAAGGCATATATTATAAGTGTGTGTAGAGTTACAAAGATTGACCACTTGTATCTGTTCAATACCTCTTATTTGGGTTAAAAGCTATGGTTTTTTGAAATATTGATTTCAGTTATAAAGTATCCCTTTAAACTTTGTACACTGGTGTTCACTCCTAGTAAATATATGGATTTATGAAACTGTCTTACTACAAAAAGGATAAACCAAAAGGAAATGAGGAGAACTATTAACTTAAGAAGGAAAGAGTAAAACTAGCTAATAATTAAAACCATGCATTGTTGCTGGGTGCAATATTTATCTGGGTATGACTTAGTATGAAATTTCACTGTATTTGGAACTTGATGATGCCAAAACAACCATATTTTGACAGAAATGATTTCCCTCCAACATGTACACTTTTCTGTTTTACTTTCAGTAATGTTTAAATATCTTTCTCACTTTATTTGTTTTACTTTTGATTACTCTTTAAAGTTTCACAGATTATTTTATTGTAACCTTTAGTTAATTACTCTTGGAGTTACAGAGAGATCTAGAGAGCAGCAGTGACAAAACC